GTTACTTAGTAAATTTTAGAGATATCGCTGCGGGAAAATTTTTTCTTCTTGTTCCTATTTTGGTAAAGTGATCTGCGGGAAGAGTTCTTTTTTTAAACTTATATAAAGGTAACTTGAAAAGTTATATGACTTAAACAAAGCAATATTTTATATATAATAACCAAAACTAAATCTTAATTTTCTAATTATAATTTAGAGACCACTCTAATATAAAATAATAATATTTATTATTAGTAACTAAAAAAATTATATTAGGATCATTAAAATAGACAATATCTAATATACAAGCTTCAAGTTTTATATTAATATATTTTTTTTTATTTGCAATATTTTGATTATAAACTTTCATATAAAAAGCTTCAAGTTTTATGTTAATATTTTTTTTTCTTTATTTGCAATATTTTGGTTATAAACTTTCATATAAAAATCTTGTTGATGATTTCAATCTTATAGCAAATTGTTTGAAAATAAATAAGATCCAACAACTACTAAATTTTTTTCTATTTGTTATTTTTTTGTGCTATTAATATAAGACATTCATACTTGATATAAAATTGATTAAATTAATAGAAATCTTTTTGGTAATCAGGGTGCTTGTTTTTTAAAACAACTAATAGAATACTTTTTTTTGCTAAATAAATTAGAATTGTTTATAAAAACAGATACAAGTCTAGTATTTAATTTTAAGATATTAGCTATATTGATAAAAGTTTTAATAATAGTTTATAATAATTGCAATAAAAATTAAATTTGAAATATATTTATATTTTTTGAAATCTATAATAATATTTGCAAATATTATTGTTAGATCTTTTTTAAAACTATAACTTTAAAATTTTTCTTTAGTAGTTTCAAAAAAAACAAAACTAGTATTTTCTCTTTATATAATATTTTAAAAGCTGTTTTTGTGAGCTTCAAATTCTTATTTTGCATATTTAATTAGTACTTTGGTGCTATAATTTTTAATTACATTTGTTATTTTATAAATGAAAACTTTAGAGAGTAAGTGATTCTAAAAACATAGTTTTATTACTATGTCTAGATTTATAATTAAAAAATTATAAAATCTAAAAGGTTTATAGGCTTAGTATATAGAATTTATTATATATTTTAATAAAATTTTACTATTATGCAAGTGGTTTAAAATATAAACTTAAAAAATTGTATTTATTTGATTTAAATTTGTTAAAAATATTTTAATATATTATAATATAATTATGTAATTATAATTTAATTATATAATTTAAATATATTATTAAAAAAAAATTAAATAAGAAAAGTTTTTTAAAACAATGTCTTATATTTTTGTAAAATTTTTGTCAAAAAAAGTCTATTTAAATTTTACAAAAGTTGCTAAACCTAATAAATATAATTAAACAATATTTTGCCAAAAATATAATTATTGCAAAGAAAACTATATTAATTTAGTTAACCAATTAAAAGGTTATTTATTAAAATATAAAAAAACTTTTAAAAAATATATAAATTTATTAAAAACTTCAAATAATTTATTTAAAAAAATTTATTATATAGCAGCAGTATTGTAAATCTTGAACTTCAATACCAACAAATATAAAACTAATATAAAATAAAAGGTTGTATTGGCTAACAAGCAAATTTCACATTTAGCAATTGATTTTCTTTAAGTGCAATTTGTTGGAATCAGACTTTTAGCAACTTGTATTTAGAAAACAATTAAAAAAAATTGTATAAAAATATATACTAACCATATACTTGAACTATTTTTGTTGGCCAATCTAAACAAATCCTAAACTTTTAAAAATAATTGTAGTTATAAAAAATTAAAACCAAATAATCCTAAAATTTTATAAGTATGTTGTCTATAGCTATATATAATTTATTTAAGCAAAGATTATTAATAAAATTTTTAAGCTATGAATTTGGCCAAACTTTTTGGGTATGTCCACTTTAAATTATTTAAAGTGGACAAACCCAAAGGGTTTGGCCAAACTCATAGCTCAAAAATTTTATTAATAATCTTTGTTAATTAAATCATATATATTCTTATAGCTATAGATAATATACTTGTAAAATTTTAAGATTATTTGTTTGATTTAATTTTTTATAAATAACAATTATTTTTTAGGGGTTTGGGATTTGCCCAGGTTTAGCCAACAAGTATAACTTGAATCCGAAATTAAAGTTGCATAATCTCGACAGAGACAGAATCCAGAATAGCAAGTTCAAGATCCTAACAAAGACAAAATTCTGATTATGCATGTCTAGATTGTGGTGGAACTATTAAATATACAGTAAGTTGTTTTATATTTATTTAATATTTAATTATTTTAATACAGTCAAGCCTCCATATGCACCCCCTTGGAACCGACCATAAGTGTGCATTTGTAAAGGGTGTGCATTTATAGAGAGTAATTTTATAAGTGTCATTATTGGAACTGAGACATAGGGTGCATTTATAGAGGGTGTGCGTGCATATATAGAGGTTTTGACTGTAATAATGTATCTAACCAGTGCACAAAATCACCAGAGTTTCCGTTTGATTAAAACTTTTCGTTCGTTTGGCAAGTTCCATTGACTGAGGTTCTAAATTCAACCTAAATGACGTTGATAAAAAAAAAAAGCAGGTTATATCACTGCACGATTCGCACACTGTATTAGTATTTAATCATTAGTTTTAATTTTACTGTTTATACTACAGTCAAACCTCTATATATGCACGCTCTATAAATGCACACCCTCTATAATTGCACTCTATGTCTTAGTCCAACTAATAATGACACATATAAAATTACTCTATAAATGCACACTCATTTGACTGTATTTGATCCATGGACTGTACCCGGGTGTTTGATAAGTCCCTAGACAGGTCCTTTTTTTATTTCCGCTAGTATTAGTTTTTATTATATAAAAAGATTACTAATTATTACATATTTTTTTATATAGTATAATAACATTTAATGATTTAGTGATTAAAAAAAGATCCTGTCTAAGGACTTATCAAACACCCAATATACAGTATGTGATTATAGACTGGACTTGACTATCCAAAACCAATCCAGTTAAGTCATACGAAACTTTATTTTTACTTAAAGAACTATAAAGTTATGTATACAAGATTGTAAAGACGCATTTTCAGTAAAAGTTTGAACAATATCAATCAATATATGGGACCCCTCACAGCAAAAGGAGGGGATGGACCAAAAAATTCAATATCTTGAAGAATCAGATTGATTAGAATAAAATTATCATAAGAACAAATTTTCAAATTTTTTTGCCCATCCTCCTTTTGCTGTGGGGGTCCCATATTACAGTATAAAGTAAACTAAGCAAACCGAATTATTAAAAAAATTGTAGGTTAAAGTTATTATATTATAAATTTTGAAATACTATTTGTTAGCAATATTTTATTTTAAAAATTTTATTAGAAAAAAAAAACTTAACATGATGAATTTATTATTTCTAACTCAAGTTAATTTTTACAACTATTAGCCATTTTAACAAGCTATATATCTCCAAAGAAAAAAAAATAAAAATAAAAAAAACGATACATTAATCTAGTTGAATGAAAGGTTTAAAAAATAAAAAGCTACTTAATTGAAATATGTGCTAGTGAAGACATGGTCTATTTAGTATAAGAATAAATCTAACTTATTGCAAGAGGTTTGAATTTTTTTTTAAAAAAAAAATTGTTTTTAATAATTAATCTTCAAAAGCTGACAATTGTTCCAAAACTGTAAAAGAAAAATCACCATTAAGCGTAAAATCCAAATGAACTTCTCTAGTGTCTACAACCTTTACACCTCGTTCTTTTAAGGATTTTATGATTTCTAAAGATTGCACATTCCAAGCTAGATCGGTGAATGGACCACAAAGGCCTAATACTTTTAATATATTACGAGTACTAAAGAATTGATCGATTAATGCTAAGGGCATATCTGTAAAATTGCCACTACCATCATCAGACGTAATGATCCAATGGGATAAAGGTGAGGAACAAGTGTTTATAAATTGTAGCATATCATCAGTTGAAAAAGAACAATTCATTTCCAAGAACCATAATGTAGGTGGTAAACATTGAGCCAATCGGGATAAAATTTCACTAGTATTATTATACATAGAATCCATAGAATCGAAAGAAAGCCCATAGAGATTTAATTTTTTTATCCAAGCAAAAATTTTATCATAGAGAGCCCTTGCAATCTCTATCGAAAGATAAGTAATATTTGGGCAATGTTGATATGCGGCATCTATAACTTCAGGTGTTATATGGCTCAAACTCAGAGTAGTTGCTTTTAAATCTTTTCCTGCCTTAACGATTAAAGAAATTGTTGCGATTGAAGGCATATCATTATCGTCCAAGGTTAAAGTTTTGAGATGAAAAGGAGCTTTACATAAATCATTACAATGCTTAATAGTAACATTTTGACAAGAAATCATGGTGAAAGAAGTCAGATGAGCACAAATTGACAAGGGTTTCAGAGAAATATTAGAGAATTGGAGAGAATCAAAAACCAACGAAGTTAAGAAGTTCGCATGAGGTCGTAAAGCAGAAATAATATCTTGACATCCATCACCTCTGTATAATAAATAAAATCCATTTAACGCACGTTGAGCTCTAATTAAGTTGACAATATCAATTGTTTCTACAGGATAATTTGAAGTTACATCGAGAAGGATATCCAGCCTGAAAAGGCTAGAACATAAAGAAGGCATGTGGCGAAAAAGATTAACAACGTTTGGAAAATTTTTACCATCATTCTCATCATACATATAAAATTGGAAATGATCTAGTCTAGACAAGCCAATCGAAGCGGATGAGAAGATAGACACATTTGGAATATCATAAATTGACATAGGACCAATAGTTAAACCTTTTAAATTTGAACATTGTCGCATGAACATTTGAAAGAGTGCTCTCATGATAGCTCCGATTCGACAATCATTATTTCTTTGAAGACTACGTAAAATGTGTTTTTCGTTCTCATTATATAACCAACTTCTGACAGATAAATGTAAAGATTCATAAGAGAGATCTTGTAAATACTTTCCATATTCAAATAAAAGATCTTCATGAGGAAGATCGATACAACAAGGGATTAGTTGAGATTGTTCAACTTCATTCAAGCAAGAAAGATAAGTTCTTATTAACGGAACAAATCCATGCATTCTTTGTAATGCAAAAGGTTTTTTCCAAAGGAAAGGAATAATACGAGTGCACCAGAAACGACTGACAAATAAACAACTATAGAGGGAGGATTGGTCATTTTGAAGATGGTTTAATATTTCATCGAAACATTCTGCCGGCAGAAAGCCTATCCAAGGCATATTTGAAGAAAAGTAAAGATGATTTAATAGATGAATGGCGTTTTTTTTAGATATACTCGACAATTGTATGTAACACGAACTAAACGTGCTTGCAGGTAATTACCTATAAAGGAAAGTCACACAACATTCAATGTGATCGAATTTAAGCAAAGTCGGCTTCCGAGCCTAAAGTTCTTTGAAAAAATTTTTTTGAGCTCTATGTAAAATCTCTTTTGTTCAAAAACTACTTTGTTCACTGACGTATGAACATAAGTATTTATGCTAACTCCAAACTTTACTTATGAAACCATCTTCTGGCTTCTAATTCAAAAAAGAAAATTATTGGCTAGTTCAGGAGAAATAGTAAGGATGCACTAGCACTAGGCTAATATTTGTGTACATACCGGTACAGTACGTACGATTTTCATTTTTAAACATTAAGATGATCACGGATAATTAAGATTGCAGCAGATGGTGTATTCGCAATTGATTCTATGAATTCTATAAGATTACTCAGTTACAGTTTAGCATACACAAAACGTAGATACAGTATTAATTATGGTTGATACTTAATAAATGGAAAGTGAATGGAAAGTCATTGTGACACATTACTGTGACACATTTATTTCTAAACTATGATTCATAATATTGTATTTACGCGAATAACATAAACCTATGGAACATTGTTTAAAAATAAATGCTACAAACTTGAATATTATTAGAAATTTGTTTATCAATATTTTCATTCTCATTGAATCAAAATGAATACGATAGAATTAATAATACGGTATTTATAATAATAATTTCCGTAAATTTTAATTAGATAATATCAATTTCATCAATTAATAAATTATTTTTTCGAATATAATGAATTAAAAATGAGGTACATTACGTAAAAATATGTAAATATTATAAATTTAAATAAAGCTAGATACATCGATTAATAAAATAAATTAAGCGCATTTATAATGGTAACTACAGTATTCAATAACTATTTTATTATATAATAAAGATATTCGCTAAATTAATAGTTTAAATGTCATTTTTTTAAAAAAAACTCTTATTATTTAGTAGATATTCAATACAGTGTTGGTTTGACCAGACCAATCCGACTATTTGACCAGACCAATTTGACCAATGACCAGTCTGGTCCAAGCATCTTGAAACGGTCAAAGTCGGTCAAATGATTTAGTTACACAGACCAATCAGACCAATTCGACCAATTCGACCATAGTCAAATTGGTCTGATCGGTCTAACCAATCTCTTCTAGCTTTTAACGATAACGATAATACATTTTATTTAAATCAAATACATTTTATTTAAATCAAATACTGCAATAAAATTTATTTATATTTCAACAACTAAACATAAAGTTTTATAAAAAATCGTTTTTATAACAGATAAGTACTAAAGTTAGCCTAAAACTAATCTATTTCTAGTCACTAAAAAGCATAGAATCATCTTGTTGAAGTGTACGAACAAATAAAGGTTGTGATAAATCACATGTAAAGAGATATCGAAGTTTAATCTTTGAATCTTTATGTTCAGCCGGATGATATTTACGCAGGTTAGCAGCTTCATTGTTTAATTCTTCAAGTTCCTCTTCTTCCTCTTCTTCTCTCTCCTCTTCCCTTTCTTTTTCCCCATTTTCTCCAACTTTAACCCATTCCTCAATAACCGATTCATTGTCATCACTTACATAGTCGTCGCTATCATAATTTTCATCATCATAATTATTATTATTAGGAATTTCATGCATCGATACATGCTCAATTTCACTAAGATCATCGTTAGGAATATCCATTTCATTTCTTTGTTCTTCTGATTGATTTTCACGATGTGATGTTTCTTCACTATTGATTGAATT